TCAGGAAAGAATGGCCACTCAATCGCACCTTTCTTTCAACTTTTGGTCATGAACTCTAGGGCATGGTCCTGATGCACAAAAAACCACCACCAAACAAAGAACAGTTATTAAAGAGTCCCGCACTCTAAAAACTGACTAATGTTGTAGTTAAAGCTGAGAAATAATGCAGCTAAGGAAAATTAATAATTATAACCCAAAAACTTAAAAGCTTAACCGTCTCAGCTACTATAGAACTCAACTACAGAAAAGAAAAAAAAACTCTTATTATGTTATCAATTTCTCAAACCTACGATTTTCTTTTACCTTTCTCAGCAACCAAACAGCAAGAGAAAAGTTAAATAACATAAAATTAAAAACGCACCGAGATCACTGCGAGTGTTGACGAAGAGGTCGTGAGGACAAAAGCGAACCATATAAAATCCACAAACTTCTTTATCATCCCATCGAATTTCCCTGTAACCCTTTTTCTCTTCCTCCGTTAAATTACGAGCTATAAAATTCAAAAAATCGTCAGAAAATTTTTAAAAATAAACTCATCCAAACACAAGAAATTAAACTAATCTCAGAGAAATAAAAACGATATTTCTAAATACCCGTTCCCATGAGTTCGTCAAGCAAAGCACGCTGTGCGTCCATGGCTTAGAGTTGAAAATAGCGAGAAAGTTTAAAGAGTTTTGACGATTTTCCCGTAAATAGACCTCCTAATTTTTGCAATTCAAAATGCAAATCGAATGTTAATCCATATAAGTCAAAGAGGGAGAGGTTTAGGGTTTTCTACGAAGGAGGAGTTGGAGTGGATTTTAAGGCAACCGCGAAGTGTCATCTGGGGTTCGGTCCCTTTAGCTGGGATCTAGAGAGAGAGAAAGAGGAAGGTCAAAACGGCATTCCCTGTTGCATAAAAACGACATTAGGATGGACGTATATAAAGGGCATAGCCTCACAGGGCAAACCTTCTTAATGAATGACGTAGGGACTTTGCCAAATTCAATAATTACATGAAAAAACTTTGATACTATTTTTAATTTTATATTTCCGTATGTTGGTTATTATTTTCTTTATTTACTATATATTTTCTTAACATACAAAAGTGTATTGAGCTTTTAGTTATTTGGTCATGTAGCTCAAAAAGAATTTATTGTACTTTAGTTATATAATGGGAAGTTATCATGATTTTTTTTATAAATTCTATTTATATTTTTAAAATTAATTAAACTTGAATTTTTTAAATAAAAATAATAAAATACATTATTTTTCTATTCAATCAAACAAAATATCTCAATAGTTAAAATTTAAAAGAAAGAATGACATTTATGACACATAAGTAAACTATCTGTCATTGAATAACTTAAAGACTCAATATACTACACATGACTAGTAAAAAGTTCATAGTCTTGATTAAAGAAAAAAATTGAGACTATGGATTCCACTAGCATTACATTCTAAATGCCAGATAGAGTGAGTAAACCACTTTGATAAGCTTTCTAATTCTTTTTATATAATCCATTAATTAAATCAAAAATTACATAATATAAGCTTATTATATTATTTAAAAAAATAATTTCATTCATTTCTTCTCATAATTCAAACTCAAAATTTAACATCTGATCAAATTTTAATCATTTAAATGTCCCTCCGATTACTATTTAAACATGCTAATAATACAAATTGTGAAGTCTAAACCTCAAGGTTTGCACCATGGCACTAGGTTGTTTAAGTGGAATTGCATATCCCCACGAATATTTTTATTTTTTACTGGTCCTAGTAAGATGAAACTGGTTCTTACTTTTCACAACTTTTGGATGTATAAATTTTATGGGTTATCTGATCGAGTATACGAAGGCTATTTGCTCACCTTCGTTAAGAGACATAATTTGCTCCTGTGTTAGATGTGGCACAACCCTAGCTAGCTTCAACGCCAGCATTATACAAATAGATTAATGGTGGTTTTGTGGAACTAAACTTTATATTCTGGGAGCTTTGTCTCGCTCTACAACCTTTAATTAAGGCTAGTTCTCTTTTGTTATTAGTACTTAAGGTCAAATTGAAGATGATGATGATCGTTATCTCTTATTTTTATATTATAATTTAATTTTATCTTAAAAATAATTTTTTTTGAATTGAACCCTAAACTTAATTTATAATTTTGTATTTATTTTTTAATTATTTTTCATGAAAAATTTTAAATTTTTGAGAAATCATTTGGTTGTAGGGAGACTATTCCTTTTAAATTGCCCTGAATAAAAAAATTTAATGCATGTGGCATGTGTGCTTCACTCTATGGCCTATGCATGTTTATTGTTAATAATTGGTATTCCATACTAATAATCTTGATATTCAAGTTAAAATATTAATTCATAATATCTTTTGTACATAATTAAGATTTGTTTTGAAATGTGAATAACGACTAGAATGGTAAAACGATCTTTTACAATTATCATTAAGGACTTAATTTAATTTAAAATTGTTATAACTTTGCTATTGGTAGATAAGAAGTGTTATCATATACGAAGAAGAAATTTGTCCACTTGGCAGTACAATTGCTGGCGGTGAAGGTTTTTTTGTGCACAAGACAAACTAAATAACACAGAAAAAACTACTGGCTCTAACGAGCTAAACAGGGTCCAACCACAAAGCAACCATTTCGGATTTCACACAATTATCCCCAAAACAAAATTTCTGTGGCTCTCCTTTAATTTTAAATGGACAATTAAAACCTGTCAAGAAACCAAACGAGCTCTTCACTGAGTTCATCATCATCAACAACAACCAAATCGATCCTTAAACCTATTACTTCAACAATGAATGACACAGTAGACAAGCTGGTCATCTTTCTAGCAAAGAGAGATGGCATTGACAAGCTTGTCAAGACCTTCCAATATGTTTCCAAGCTTGTTCACTGGCAAGTGGAAACCACTCACCCGGATATTGCAAATAGGTTCAAGCAATGGGAGGTTGCCTCGGGTCTTAGCAGAAAAGCCTTTAGAAGTGGCAGGTTCCTCACTGGTTTCAATGCCCTAAGAAGAAACCCTGGCTCCAGTCCAACTTTCAAGTTCCTAGCTGTTCTTGCTAATGCAGGAGAGATGGTCTATTTCTTTTTTGACCACTTTCTTTGGCTATCAAGAATTGGAACTTTGGATGCCAAGTTGGCAAGGAGGATGAGCTTCATATCTGCCTTCGGTGAGTCTTTTGGTTATATTTTCTTCATTGTTTCAGATTTCATCATCATGAAAGAAGGGCTAGAAGCAGAGAGGAAGCTTATTGCTTCAGCGGAAGAAGATTCAAAAGATGCAAAAGTGAAGATAAGAAGCATCAGAGCTGACAGGGTGATGAGGTTGATGGCAGTGGCAGCGAACATTGCTGATTTGATTATCGCACTAGCAGATATCCAGCCGAACCCATTCTGCAACCATCCTGTTACTCTCGGTATCAGTGGACTGGTCTCAGCATGGGCTGGTTGGTACCGAAATTGGCCCTCCTAGACGAAAATTATAGGGAAAACGATGAACAAGGTCTTGGAGATGGAAACTCGTTCAAAATCTTGATGTTAACTAGCTCGAAAACAGTGAGGATTATCGATTTTGCGTTTGTTTTGTTCTATACTTGAAGGAGGGATGGTTTTGCACTTTTACTGCTAAAATCAGTTTATGTTTTAAATTGAAAATGATGGTACAGGTTTGGTGAAATATTTCTTTCATTCGCAAATTAATAAAACTAACAATCTATGTCAATAATTGGACTGCCATAGTGCCATTTGAATTATAATCAAGCTTTACAACTAATTGAAATAAGGTAGGTGGGGACATGGGGTGGGGGAACAAGAGTTTTCGGCTAAAATTTTTTCATATTTTCTGATAGTATTACTTGTAACTTTGTTTATTCCTTACAAGATTATTTGGAGATCAAGACCTGTAAGTTATGTGATGATGAAACAACGAATAAAAACAAAAAGAAAATAGAAAAAATGAAATGATATCTGTAGAAAACTTCGGCAAAGAAATCATTCTACCCTTGGTGCCTGGCCCTTTTCCATGGGTACACTTCCCTGATTTATTGTGTGAAAACCATGAGAAATGAGAAATTTCTCTCCATTTGGCTAGTGAATCTCTTCACACTCAAGGTTAGGAACTAGTGAAATTTTGCTATTTCTCATTTCTACCATCGACAAAGGATAAACAGGGTAGCAATCACTTTCTCCATCATTAATTCCATGTCCAAACTCACATGTTTCCTGTTTTTATAAAAACAATAAGTAAATCACTGAAGAGAACCTAAATTGACACTTTTCTTTATATAATAATGCAATTATAATGTGATAATTACGCCTAAAAATCAAACTCATATGTTGAAATCATGAGTAAACATGGAAATACATACCTTTCTGTTTATTCATGGAAAACTAGGGGAAAAAAATGCTACTTGCTTTGGATTGTTATTGTCATTACTTGCAATATGAGAGCATGTGTTTTTTTTTTTGTTATTTTTCTGAGAAAATAACGTTGGATTCTTAATCACGTGATTTTATTTTCTCTGTTGATTTCATCATGGAAATCATAATTGGGAAGAAAAAAAAATAAAGCCAATGCAACTCTCTCTAATATGTTGCAACAAAGAATAAAAAGGCAGAAAAAGAAAAGACAAAAAAGGCATGAAACTAAGAAATGTACTACTAATCAATATTCTAGATTAAATTAACGTACATAAGATATGGGGCATGTAGGTTACTGTGGACAGAAGAGAATGCGAGACTGTGACACCTGTTTTTTTTTTAAATTTTTTTGCATGAAATGATTAACGACACGATGTCATTTATTGTCATTTTTTTATAATTAAAAAAATAAAATTTAAATTTTATTTTTTAAATAAAAAGATAATATATCAATTAATGAATCAAATGTTTAAATGCATTAATTATCAATTTTAATAGTCAAAAAATTCTAAAAGTTGAGTTAATTAGAGGAGAGAGCAGAGGGAAATGGTACAAGCTCTACTACATTGATTTACCATTCTTTCCAAAATTTGGAGTATTCCATTTAAATCCGCCGTTTACTTTCCTTACCATAAACAATAAGAATGCAGGAATCATTTTTTGTTGCCAATATCCCTAAATTAGTTTGCTCATTCTATTATCAAAGCAATAAAAATAACCAACTTACTTTTTATGCAACCAAAACATCCAACCCAACTTAATTTACTTTATATTATCTACGTCTAGGTATTAAATTACAACTTTGCTCCGAAAATGTATATATTTCAAATTTAATTATTTAATTCTTTTATTTTTTTGATATAATGCTTAAAAAAGTTTTTGAACTATTTAAAAAAATTCAAATAAAATTTTATTTTTTGTTATGTTCAATCAATTTTTTATATTTTTTTAAAATAGAGTAAATAGTTATTTCGATTAATTCAATTTTAAATATCTAATAATCGAACTCATGTTTAAAAATAATCGAAACAGAACCAAATTTCACAAATAACCAAATTAACAAAAATTGAATTAATTTGGTTAATTCAGTTTGGTTTCTGAAAATTGAACTTGAAATTTTTTTTTGTTTGTATATATTTATTTATGTTATATTTTTTTTATAAATCAATACTATAAAAATATTAAAAATTATGATAAACGATTAAAATAAGTAAAATGGATACTCATACAAATAGCAAAATAATTAAAAAATATGAATGAAAACAATAGCAGATAGTTTTTAAATTATTTCCCATGCAACAATCCGGTTATACCCTAATTCCAATTCAATTAGGAAAATTTCTAATCAAAATCGACTTGAATTAACTTTAATAACCAAACTACTCTAATTGAATTATCCAAATAACTTAACCAAAAAAATCGAACTCACTTCGATCTAGTTTGATTTGTATCTGTACACCTTTAATTTTTTTAATCAAATAAACTTTTATAACTAATGTTTAACTCTTTATTATTAATTCCAATGTCTATTTTCATTTTATGATAATGTAACATCAACGTGACATTGATATAAAACGTGAAAAATACAATATCATAATGTTACAATGTAATATCAATATATAACACCATTATCGATTATGACATATTAATATATTATGTTAATGTCATATTAATTTTATATAACATATAATGGCAGATGATATTTTAAATAAATCAAAAATTAGATTTCAAACCTATTTGATTTAAAATAAAAATAAAAATATAATATAATAATTTATTTAAATGATTTAGACATTTTTTAAATATTATATATTTTTTTCATTTAACGTATTAATCATAAATATCGCCGCAATAAGGCGGGTAATCTTGCTAGGTAGTACTTTTGACACGTGGAAGTTCGCCGTTTTGTGTCAAAACGGCAGTCGAGCACTTCCCGGTTGATCTAAACCCATTTCTTAGCAGAATCCATGGGTCAAGGTTAGGTCAGTGGTGACATAGAGGAAACCGTAGAGATTAGACTAGACCGAGGAAGTGGAGAGGCTAGTTGACCCTGCAAGCCTCACTTCTTGTCGTACCCTATTTTCGGAGATTTTGATAATTGCCATTCTCCCTAACTTTCATCTTTTGTCTTCCTTGGAAACTTCTCCGAAGATCTCGTATATTACGGGGGTGGTAAGACTTTGAATACTCATCTATCTTCTTTCTTTTCAACTCTGTAGCATTTTCTTCTTCTTGGTTTTGTTTTTATCTCAAAAAATTTTATAAGCTGTAAAGGAGAGGAGGGTTGATGTTTTTGATTTGATATTTTGGGGTGTTTGGATCAGATGGCGGACGCACAATCGAGATACGTTAAGCTGACAAAAGATCAGGCGCCTTTAGAGGATATCAGACCTGGTGAACTTAATCAGCCCATTGATGTTCCTCAGGTCTCCCTCTCTCTCTTAAAAAAAAAAAATCGGCTTTTCAATTTTTTTTCCAGAGATTTTGAGTGTTTAATCTATAGAAAAATCTGGTATTTTCTTTCTGATTCGATTGTTTTAGAGAAATTTGTTGCTGTGGAATTTGAAATTGTTCGACCATGTAGCATTTTTATTTGTTTCTTCGAATGCTTTAAGATTACAGTTGTACCATACGGTGGTTGAAATAATATTTGAAAATTTGTGAGGATAGTGGTGTAGCTACTTCTTTTAGGATGATAATTGGGTTAAACCTTTACTTAAAGTCCAGCAAATTTGCACACGAATTATCGGCTGTTTGAAGGATTTTTGGGGGGGACATTCAGATCTGTCTGGAATACCTATTTTAAAAAGTTTGTGAAATGCTATAGTGGTTTTCCTCTCTGTGCCCAGGAAACATCCTTTAGCGTGTAGATCTTTTGCATTAAGATCTTGTTCATCATGAAAATTATGAACTTGGAAGTGTTTAAGTCAAAAATAATAAAGATAAGATGCCTTCCTGCCTCAATTTGAAGGTTGCTGGTTGTTTTCGAGCTTGGAAAAAAAATTTTCGGATGTCTGTGCATGTTGGGATATAGCTTGACCATTCTGGTCAAAAGGTCATTTATTTATAAGAATTAAAGGATGATATAGCATGACATTTTGTGCAAAAAAGGTCTTTTTACTTGTTGGGAGATGCACATTGATGTAGTTGCTGATATGGTGGATTGTTTTATAGTTGCATGTTCGAAAGTGCAATGAATGTGGACAGCCTTTACCTGAAAACTTTGAGCCTCCTGCTGTTGAACCTTGGACGACTGGAATCTTTGGCTGTGCTGAAGATACAGAAAGTTGTAAGTGGATATGTCATAGTGTTTGCTTTGTCAATCTATGACTTTGCCATTGTTCTTTTATATTGTAGCTAATTGTGTAGGAATGCTTACATGCTTGTACCGATGAACAATTTTTTATGTATCCTATTAGCTAACTGATGAGTCATTCTCCAAATCTAATCACTCAATGATTCTATACATGTTAGTACATGTCTCTTAAGTGAAACAAAGGGAGAGTGCTTTTATTTGGCAGCTGCTGCATGAAAATGGTTGTGTTTGGCCCACCCTTATGCTACTGTCCTTTCATGAAACCAGTTGTGTTTTAAATTAGCATATTGACTTGCTCTGCAGGCTGGACGGGACTGTTTTGTCCATGTGTTCTATTTGGGCGTAATATTGAGAACTTGAGAGATGATACCCCTTGGACTACACCGTGCATTTGTCATGCTATTTGTGTCGAAGGTGGCATTGCATTGGCAGCTGCCACAGCAGTCTTCCATGGTATTGATCCGAAGACATCATTTCTCATTTGTGAGGGTTTGTTGTTTGCTTGGTGGATGTGTGGCATATATACTGGTCTTGCTCGACAATCCTTACAGAAAAAGTATCATCTCAAGGTAGTATCTAAGCTTACTTTGCCCATATGTACTTATTAATAAGGCAAAACAAACAAAAGCTTTAAGTATAGAATATCCAGCTTAAGTAGTTGCACAGATAATACTTGTTGCTTTTATAGCTTTCACATGGTACAATATTTTAATCAAATAAGCATTTGTATTATTGCGAAATATAGTATTAGTAGCATAGTAAGGTCCAAGTCCAACTAAATGTTATGTTTATGATTGACGTATTAGCTTATATCCATAGAAGTAAATTTTAAACATTAAAGTTTGTCTTAAGCTCAATCTATCAATTTGAACCTTTTAAGACTTTTTATTGGTGAATTCTATCATTTGTAATTTAGTACTGATTATTCTTTGCATTTTACCAGATTAAACATGCAGCTTAGTCTGTTGTGTATTTTTGGCATAAAGCAAATCCTCCATTGCATGTGTTGGTCCGTATGCTAATTAATTAGAAAGTCATGCCTGAAAACTTAGTTGACTTTTGAATTTTCAATTTGTCTATTAATCTATATACCTGTACCGAAAATGAATTTTCCCAAAAATCCTGGGTTTTGGAAGTAAAGAGATTCTACTTCATTAGTTGACGGACTTCCATTTGTTAACTGCAGAACTCACCCTGTGATCCATGCATGGTGCACTGCTGCATGCACTGGTGTGCTCTATGCCAGGAGCATAGAGAGATGAAGGGACGTCTGTCAGACAACTTTGTCATGCCAATGACTATCGTCAACCCTCCCCCTGTTCAAGAAATGAACTCTGCCAGTGAAAACCAGGATTCAACACCACCCTCCGGAACTAGCACCAACTTGGAGATGCGGCCGCTGTAAGATCCGTCACTGATGGTACAAAAGGCATTTTGGTGAATGATTTTCGTCTCGAAGGGGTCATATTTTCATATTCTTGTCATGTTTCTCAGTAGAATTGGCTAGCCTTTACACCCGAACTCCTCCGTACTCCATTGCTTACGCTCATGTTGGCACCTGGACAGATGCTTTACTTAATTCTCTGACCCGTGAGGCTCTTTATTAGATATACAGATGTGGTCACTTCAACTTTAATTGCTTCATTGTACAGATGGTGCAATTTTATTTTATAAAAGGTACTCCCATACAATCTTTGATGATTTGTTGTCAACGGCCAACCACCCCATTGAAAGAGAATGTAGGCTGTCTCACCTTTGATATCTTGATTATTGTTGCCATTTTAGTTGTGTTTCGGTTACTGAAATGAAGCAAGTAGATCAAACGTCAACCAATTGAAGAAAATTGAAGCTAAACTTTTCTGGAAATTCAATGGAAACCGTAAAAGGAGAAAACAAAGAAGAAGAAGAGAGAAGAGACATTCAAAGCAGTGGAAAAATAATTGGCAAAAGCACAAATTCATTTCTATTTTCAGAATTTAAACTTTCACAATATCAACGTGAAAAAGAAAATTTCACGCTAACCAATACACAGCTCAACGGTAATATAAACCAGACAAGCCACCTTGAAAAAACAGAAAATGAAAAGCAGACTAAAACGGCACCCCAAGGTGCGTATAAGACTCAGCTAAAATAAATCAAAACAAAACGACATGAGCAATACCCTTTTGAATACAACAGACATAAAAGCTAAACGATGGCGTTTTTTGACTGGATAAGCTGGTGGTGTGGCGTGATAATTTTTCTACTCAGTTTGGAACAGTAGAAAATATTCCCTTCTTTTAGCTCCCTAGTATCAGTTAGGCATACTACTTAAAAAGTCTTTATTTTGTTTTAAAAAATTTAAATAAGTTTTTATTTATTATTATTAATAATTAAAATTTTATATTTTTATTTTAAATCAAAATATTTTTTATATTTTTATTTTTAAATCAAAATATTTTTTATAATTAATAATTATTTTAATCAAAATATCACGTATAAATATAATATCTTTCACCTTTCAAACAATATTATGTTAATTTGTTATAAAATAAAATAATAAATAATATTTTAATTAAATATAATAAAAAATTATTTAAAATTTTTTATATTATATATATTAAATATTACCTCACACAGCTTGTGTTAATTACACGTCCTGGAAATGTTTCAACAAAATTGACGTGAAGGTTAGCATTTTCCATCCAGCCCGGTAGCGGTCGGCTCCTCCTTTCCTGATTGTATACAATGACGGCAATTCAATGCGTAAATAATCGTAGGTATGGGCAATCGGCACCCCACAAACAAATAATTGATCCAATAATGCCTGACTCTTTTCTCAAAGTTCCAAAGGCCTGAAACTTATAATACCTACCTACGGGCCTAGTCCCTATTATTATATCTGCAGTCTGCAGTTGTGCCTGATCGTATCTTTTCCCCACCATTTCAATCTTTCAATCTACTATAATTCTCTAGTTTTTCAATTACTTTGCTTCAAAATTCAAAATAACAATTTAAAAAACCCTGTTGTTTGTCTCTTTTTAAGTCAAAAGAAGCAAATGCAAACAGTGCTGGTCAAAGTTAGCTTAAAGTTCAAACTTCAAAACCTTTTCTGCTACCAACTTTGCACGCCCTTTTATTCCAGCAAAGCCTTTTGCTTTTCCCCTTTTTTTTTGCTCTTTTCCTCTCAAATTTCAGTTCAGTGAATGGAGAGACAACGCTCAGATAATGGAAGAAGAAATAGACAGCCAAAAGCCAAAGATTCTTCGCAATGCAGACTCCAGCGCGCTTCATCTCTGCCCCCGATTGCAAGAGCTCCACCTCCCCCACCCAACGAGCTGAAGCTTGCAGCAATAGCTATTAGTTTGAACGTTCGGCTGAGATCCGCTGACATGCCTCTGACAATGCAAGAGCGAGCTATCCGGCGAGCCAGAGCTCTCGTAGACGCCAACCAAGATAAAAACAAAAGACCCAATCCTACGCAGCTCGCAATGTGCCTTAAGAAGGTACCCAAAATCTTGCCTATTTGGTTCTCAAAAGTTTGTCTTTTTCTTTCTCTTTCTAATTTTTTAAAGTATTTAACTTTGAGGCTTGAAAAAATTGATGCAGGAATTTGATGCATTGTATGGACCAGCATGGCATTGCATTGTGGGGAAGAGCTTTGGGTCGTTTGTGACACACGCGAGTGGAGGGTTCTTGTATTTCTCTGTGGACAAGCTCTGTTTTCTTCTCTTCAAGACGGAGGTCCAACCGGTTGTTAAACCTCCTACATCGCTTAGATTAAAAATTAATAATGCCTAATGTTTTCGGTAGAGAATGAATTTGATCTTTGATTTCATCGTAAATGAAGGATGGCTTTACTCTATAATGGCGTTCTTCCCCAGCTCCTCAAAGTATATTGTGGAGTGAAAATGCTGTCTGTGTCATTCAGCATTTTCTTAAAAAGGCTAAAGATGAAACTTGGTGAAAGTTTTCAGCGCATTTGGCGTGATTTTATGTAAGGACTCTTTTACATTCCTGTTCATCTTTTCCGTTTATGCAAAGCTATCTTAGGCTTCAATACACTAATATTTGGATATGGAACCTGCACAACTGATTCGGGCTAGTTTCATCTCTTTGCACATTGAGGTACAAAAGCATGGCTCTTAACTTGAGTTTGCTTTTAATTTTGAAGCCTTCTTTCTTTCTTTTTTGATAAATATTATTCCCCACTTCAGTTGTTAATATTTTTACAAATTCCCAATTGCGTGACCATGTTTTAGCCAAAAATTCGGAAGGGAAAAAAGGGATTGGAAAAGAGAATTGATGACAAACAGAGAATGAGACCAGACCTACATGATGTACAAAACATAGTCTGCTGTGCCCTTTTTCAGTTTCAGATCAAAGAAAATAAAAAGGCACCAACCACAAACAGTGGGACAAAGGCAGAATACAACTATTATACTGTTGGCGCCTAGGTTTCACTCTCTCTCTCTCTTATTGAATTTTGGCTGGGCTAGGTTTTTGCTGGAAGCCAGCATGATAAAATCCCTGAAGGACATCAGACAGCCTTAATCCGACCACCTAATAAACATAGTCTAGCACTTCTATTTCAGCTCCGGACATGTTGCCATTGTAAGTTGGACCTAACTACTTAAGAACTGGTCCCGTGACAATGAATTAAACCAGGTCTAGGCGTCAGTGAGTAGGCTGTAATTGGTCCAGTGCCCCGGGGCGTCAGCATGAATAGCCATGTTCTTTTCTTTTTGTTTCTCCACGTTAAGGAAACGGGTGGTCTACTCTCAAAAACTCCCCTAAAAAGGGATGAGACCAAGACGGGTCAAGACTGTCAAGGCACATGTTAAGGCCAAACAATGGCTTGATTCAAGAAAAGATAAGCGAAAATGTGCACGGAAGGACAGAGCCAAGGTGCCTCGCAAACAAACCCAAAGCAATCAATTGATCTGAACAGAAAACTTTTAGTGTATTTTTTTCTATCTCAAGGTAAACGTCAGTTTTAGTATTTGATTGTTAACAAGTGCTAACATTTCAGGGTTATACATGTAATTCTATAACTTAAAAAATATTATCCTTCTGGATTACTGATGATTCCTAATTTTTTTAATTACTACTATTTTTGTTTGAATGTGTATTTATGTATTGAAAAAAAAAAAGGAGAGGATTCCGTTCAAAAGAAAACATGACAAATGGAAAAAAGAAATCATCGAATGAAAAAACGCCATGTCGGCCTAAAAGTCGTAGTTGATACTTGATTGGACTCGCACTCAATGATAATCATTAAAGCCAGTATTAGTCAAATCCTATCTACAATCTTCCTCAAATTTCCGAATGGAGTAGAACAATTACTACCGTTTCTTCCCTCCCGCGCTCCGCTTCCGAAACCGTTATTTCAACATCCATGGCCAGAGGAATCCCCACCTACGACGGCTATGGCAGCTCTCGTGACGGCTGCGGCGGCAGTGGAAGGCAATACATAACAGCGCAGTGCTATCCCTCTGCCTCTTCTTCGTTTCAGCGCGTTGATTCTTTCTACTATTCATCATTGAATCGGGGTACTGTCGGAGACGTGTTTTTCGGCACCGACGATATTGGGGACACTAGAGATTCAATGTACAAGGAAGATGTGATGGACAGTTACCGTAGAGAAACCGCCATAAAATCTTTGAGGCGGCAATCAAAGAAGAGATCCATCTCGACTTTCGGGTGTGTCGAGTTCTTGAAACTTTTATGGTGTTGCTGCAGATGTATAATATAAGATGATTATTGATCGATTAATTTCTAGTTAGTAGCATCGCATTTGACTGTATCTCCCTGCTCAAAAGAGTTGGGAATTTATATATATAAAAAAAAGTTAATAAATAAGCAGAAAATTAAATTTCTGTATTTTCCCGATTCTTTGACTCCTTCCCTTATATCCACAGCTCCGATCAGTTCATTATCAGATCAAATCAAATAGTTGCAGTAGTTAAAAAGATGGAAAAAAAAAACCAGCTTTCTAGAGTTCTCTCTATGTTTAAACCTCTCGAGGCCCAGCAACCCGTTTTCTACCAGCATTAAACAAATTGGGGTTTACTTGTTTTAGTTGTTTAAGTGCAGAACGACGCAATTTGGATTTGGGAGATTTGGACCGGCACGATACGGGATTTCAATTTCCGGAGTTTCCTTCTTTCCTTTCATTACTATTTATCACTTCAACCGTCACCTTTTCTATGCTTTTTTATTATTTTATGCTCCTAGTACATTCTCGAGGAGTTTTCATCCCAAAGTCGGTTGAGTAAGATCTGAGCTGGCATTGGATTTTATACTAATTAGTATTTATAACCATTCCATGTATGATAGTAACTTTTATAGCATTTTTGGTGGCATTTCTCTTTTATTTTTAAGGAAATTTTGTTATTTTATTTGGTTGTGAAATAGTTCAAGGAATAGTCATTTCACATGTATGATATCACCCTCCCTATAGTATTAGCTATTTCATGATTGATGCATAAACACAAAAAATAATAAAAATAAAAATATCTCTTATAAGTTTGAAAAATTACAACTTTATGGGTATAAAATATTATTTTCTCTCTCCTCTGTTTCAACTTCTAATAAAATATTAATATTAAATTATAAATAAAATATTAATATTTAAAATATCAATTATTAATATTTAAAATAAATTATAAATTATTACTATTTAAAAATAAAATAGATTAAAAATAAATAAGCATAATAACATTTAAATTATTTGTAAAATATTAATAATTAAATTATCAATTATTAATATTTTATCAATTATTAACATTTAAATTATATGTAAAATAAATTAACAATTATTAATATTTAAAAATAAATAAAATAAAAATCATAATAATATTTCAATTAAATAAAATATTCATATTTTAAAATATTAATTATTAAGTTATAAATAAAATAATCATATTTTAAATAAATAATCATTTATTAATATTTAAAAATAAAATAAAATAACTTATCATAATATTATTTAAATTAAATAAAATATTAATATTTTAAAATATTAATGATTAAATCATAAATAAAATATTAATATTTAAATGATCAATTATTAATATTTAAAAATAAAATAAAATGAAAATAATCATAATATTTAAATTAAATAAATATTAATAATTATATTATAAATAAAATATTAATATTTAAATTATCAATTATTAATATTTTAAAAAATTATCAATTAATAATATTTAAAAATCAAATGAAATAAAAAATTAATCATAATAAATTTAAATTAAATAAAATATTAACATTTGAAAATATTAATGATTAATTATAAATAAGATATTAATATTTTAATTAAATTATAAGTTATTAATATTTAAAAATTAAATAAAATAAATAACCATATATATAATAAAGGGCATTTTTATCTTTTTATTTTCTATTCATTTCATATTCCAAAGTTGTTGTTATCAATCAAACACTATAATAAGTCATAATAATTATTTTTGTCATATTTCATTCATTATACTAAACTATATAATAACTATGCTATTTTATTCTCACATAATAATTATTCTAATCTATTTTTGTCTATTCTATCAACCAAACGTAACTATAGAGTTTAATTTAAATAATGCTAACATAAACCATGATTGAAACATCGATAACACAATAAAAAGTAGCTAATTCTTACTAAATATAAACTGACTTGTTGTCCAAATTACTATTAAAATGCTAATCAACTAATTATATAAAAAATTAAACTTGATTCGATTATACTTTCTTTCAAATAAAAAATGCTAATTAAATAGAAATATGATATGTAAAAGCTCTGAAAGAGAAAAAAGAGAATATTAAAAACGTTATAGAAACAATTATCTACAGTAGCTATTTTGTTTTAATGTTCTTTTATATTTTTTTCGAATCACAAACTTGTGATATTAAATGAAAATAAAATTCTGCAAGCTCTTTGTTCTTATTGGTATATTTTAGAAAATATAAGGGAAGAAAGTGAGTTAAAAACTTAATAACATTGGAAAACCAAACTTGGGTTGTTTTTTCCCTTTTAACTGTACTTCTTAGGTTTAAGAAAATTCAGAATTGGAGTATCAGACATATTCCAAGGTCAGCCAAAAAGAAGTCGATGAGCGTGCTAAGCAAGGGTTCAAAGGCCAAGTTACTTGTTGTGGATTCCAGGAGGTAACCACTCTTAACCCATATATAACTAACGTTGAACTTGAGACTCAAGGTAATGATTGATGAATTCATCGTGATTTTCGTGATATTGTTTGTATTCGGGAATTGTGTGACAATGATGGCAGCCATTGTTACTTGCTTACATGACTTTTTGGTTTGTTTCTGTTTGTGAGTACCCATTGATGGTGAGGATGGTGGAATTGTGATTAGTGAGTCAATTGTGGCTGATGTTGATCTTGAGTGGTGCGAATTGTCAAGTGCCCACGAATGGTGATCCTTAGAGAATATTCTTTTATTGATAACTTTTAAATCAAATTAAATGATAGTGATAAAATTACACTAATTCAAAAATAAATGATAAATTTGATTTATTATCTTAAATAGAATAATAAATTTAAACCTTATTTTACTTTCAATTATGATGAAAATTGATTGAAATGAAGTTCACATTGTAATTTGTAAGAAACCATAGAGGACTTTCTTTGCCATCAATTTAACCTTAGAACTAAAAGAGAGATTAGGAATAAGATTTGAGTTTTAGGTAAGAGTTCAATTAGATGAATGATAAGTTAGTACATATATCACATGGTTGCTACTTTCTCCCTACTAATCCAATAAAGTGTGTGTGCATGTCCACATTTATAAGCTAATAAGGTGTGAGATTGAAACACCGTATGTATGACATTCTCTCCCATATAATCCGGTAATAAGACATCGTCGTCATCGATCGCTTCACTTGTGTTCCCTCTTAAAACGCTTGACCTAAAACAAATTTAGATTAAATATATTCTAATATCATTTTGTTCTGAGACAATTACTTTATCTTTAAAAACTAAATTCACAAAATGTGCAGCATACAAGTTTATAAATTTTTTAAAAATTTGTATCTATTTGACATTAAATTGAAATATCATATCTATTTTTTAAATATTTGACGTGACATAAATCTTGTCCTATTTTGTATAGAACATGAAAAATTATTGTAAAATCATGTGAAACTTTGAAAGATGTAGATGTCCATAGTGCTACTTAATTTTAACTGTCACAAATTCACAAGTCTATTTTCCAACAGAGTGGATATGAATTATTACAGTAGAAAAGCATAAATGAATCAAAAATAAGAAAGAAAAATGGCACTAAGGCAATATAAAAAAAGTACATACTAGTACAAAACTGTCACTAAAAACTAATATCCAGCAGTTTACATGTTTCAGCAAATTGGATCAGCATAACGGTTTAAACCGCAAAACACCCAGAAATTCGCAACCCAGCCTCCACGTGGCTAGTGGGCGGTTAATTTTTGAACTTCAACGTAGCAAACTTTTTGGCTTGTTATAAACTTCCTTGCCTTTCAATCCATCATGTCCTCTGTGTGCAAACGATTTCAAGTCTCTCTTCTACTTATAAAATAACGATAAAAATTTCATTTTCATGCTTCTTGGCGCAATGGCTCCTGCATTGTTGACTGCCCGTTTCCAGGAATCTGTTACTGCCAATGCTCTCAGAGCCTATCTTGCAGAGTTCATTTCCACATTCTTTTATGTGTTTGCGGTTATTGGTTCTGCCATGGCTTCACGTTAGTGCTTTTAATTGTCTCCTTTATTTATCTGCGGTTTTTCAAAATGCTTAAAAATGATTCCTATTTGCCAGGGAAATTGATGTCAGATGCGGCAACAGATCCGTCTAGCCTGGTGTTAGTTGCCATTGCAAACACCTTTGCTCTGTCGTCGTCGGTGTACATTGCTGCAAACGTCTCCGGTGGACATGTGAACCCGGCCGTCACCTTTGGCATGGCAGTTGGAGGTCATATCAGTGTCCCAACGGCTATGTTTTACTGGGTTTCTCAAATGTTGGCCTCTGTCATGGCCTGCCTTTTGTTGAAGGTCACTACTGTTGGACAGGTACGAAACGACTCTGTTCCATTTGAAAGATTGGAAAAAACAAAAATTACTGCTAACATTTATGGGAATCAACTTTTATCATGGTGTTATACATTTACATGCACAGAATCTTCTCTAGTTCTGTTTTTCCTCTCCTTCAGTCGTAGACTTTGCACTACACTGAGAAACGTGCAATCCAATTTTGTTTTACGTATTAAACCCTATGTTTGATTGGAGGGAACAGAAAAGGAGTTGAAACAGAGAAAATTTCTTATAAACAAGATGAAAAACTGTAAGAAAGAAAGAAGTCCAGTTTAAAATAAACAATTACTAGTTTAAATACAATGATAGTTCTTTCAATTTTCCTCCAATTCAAGGAAATTATTGGATTTTTTGGGATATGGAGATGTGAAAAACTATTAATTTTCCTTTCTTCTTTTTGTTCTTTCCTGCCAAACTGGTAATTGTATTTCTCCTCACCTTTCGTCCCCTATTTCCTTTCTGCTGCTTTTCCCATCCTACCAAAAACAATGTATAACATAAATCATGCTAAAAAATGATAATGAGGCTTTCTTAAAGAAGCTTTACAAGAACAATCAAATTTTAAGGCTAGTGCTAGAGGTTTTTGGGAGGTCAGACACTTCTGACCCTGAGAGAAAGAAAATTTATGTAACATTGCCTGTAATTTTTGCAGCATGTCCCAACTTTTACAATTGCAAATGAAATGACTGGATTTGGAGCATCCATGGTGGAAGGTGTGCTCGCATTCGCTTTGGTGTACACCGTTTATGCTGCTGGCGACCCTAGAACCGGTCCATTGGGGGTCATTGGACCCTTGGCAATAGGGTTGATGGCAGGAGCCATGGTCTTGGCTGCAGGGCCGTTCTCTGGAGGGTCAATCAACCCTGCATTGGCTTTTGGCTCTGCTGTCGTTGCCGGTCGCTTCAAGAACCAAGCCGTTTACTGGGTTGGACCCCTGATTGGAGCAGCAGTTGCGGGGCTTGTCTACGACAACGTTGTGTTTCCCGGTCAAGCAGCATCAGTTTCTGGGAGAGGGAATTCAGAGGGAATTGGGCTTTAACTGCTTTTCACGTGTACTTAATTTGCTTTCATAATGCTCTTTTAGGCCATGTGTAATTCTTTTAAGATTTAGCTGTAGGAAACTTGGTACCAACTAATTAATTTAGTCTTATGTTGACAGCTCAACAGTTTAACTCTGCTGTGACTCAATGCTTATACTTCTGATTCCACAACTACTTTTATTATTTTTTGCACCAGCCAAATCATTTGTAGTACCTACTAGGAACCTTTTCTATTTATTTTCCTTAAACCTATTGGATGGTTATAGTTCAATAAAACAGAGTTACACCTTCAGAGGTCGGGCGCCATCCAACGGTTCTTGATCATTAAAGCCATCAGCGTTAAACTACATAAGTATACACCCAATACTACCACCGTCGTCATCATTTAGTACATTCCCAAACTAGAACCCCCCGTTCCCGTTTCTTCCAGTCAAAAACCTCAACAGAAACAAAACGGTCACTAATGGCGCTCAAAACCATTTCCACATTTCTCTCCCCCCTCTCTCTTCCAAACCACCACAATTTCTCGAACTTCAACACGAAATCTCTCAATATTTACAGAATACCCACTCTCGTTTCTTGCAAATCCACTCAGTCACAGACCCAAAGCCAGTTCCCACTCTCGGAAACCCAATTGCTGTCTTCCGAACCCGACGGGACCGGTGCGGCTGCTCCGACCCGGGGAGATCGGTTCCTCGAAAGGCAACAGGCTGACGAGGCTGCTAAGCTTGTAATAAAAGAGATAAGGAAAAGTAAAAAGAAGAAAAAGAAGGTTTTGAAGGTTAACACGTTGGTCGCGAGTTGTTATGGTTGTGGAGCTCCATTGCAGACTTCGGAGCTTGATGCTCCGGGTTATGTGGATACGGATGCTTATGAATTGGTATCTGAACTTCAACTTTTACGAATTAAAATTTAAAAATTATTTTTTGTGAATGATGAAATTGCATTTTATTTTAGTTTAAACGGAACAATTATGTCTGAGTGCAAATTCCATTTTAATTTTTTGTTACTATTAGCAATTTTTGAGGAAACAAAAAGCACTTAGTTGTTGGAAAATTGATTAAATGTTTCTTGCTTGATGGAGCTCGGTTTTTATTGACTAAGTTGAAGTTTGTGGTCAAATTAAATGCTGGCTTTGTGATTGCAGAAGAAGAAACATCACCAGCTAAGAACGGTTCTTTGTGGGAGATGTAGGCTTTTATCTCATGGGCAAATGATAACTGCTGTTGGTGGTAATGGAGGTTATCCTGGGGGGAAGCAGTTTGTTTCGGCTGATGAGCTTCGTGAAAAGCTCTCTAACTTGCGCCATGAGAAGGCTTTGATTGTTAAATTGGTGAGCTCTATGGTTTTACTTTCTAACCAAATTAATGAAATGATTTGAGAAATTTTATCATTTACTTGTGGATTGTGGTGATAAATCCTATAATGTAATGAAGTATAATAAATGCACGAAACTTACAGTGTCCTTGGTAGTTGTGATGAAGTACCTTGAGTAGGTAGATACCTCCCATTTATCAAAGTTTAAATATTGGGTGCCTAAAACTGAGAAACTTGCCTATTCTGCATATGGAAACACTGTCCAACTAGTGTGCCCTCCAAATGACCTTGTATTTTTATGAGAGTGTTTCACCTGATTATGCCTTAGTTAATTTTGTTTAGAACTGCTTTTCCTATTTCACTCGTTCTATAGCAGAGAGAAATGATTTTGGTGATAATGATAAGTCAAGAAGTTCAACTTACTAATTGAGACTATCTTCTAGTAAGTGATTACATAAATTTCAATCTCTTTAAGCCTGGATTTCTTCAAAAGGATCTAATTATGTTCTCAACTTATTGATGAATCAATGTGTCACAAATGATCAGGATGTTTTCTGATTCCTTTTGGCTAATTACGTCTAGGTTGATATTACAGACTTCAATGGCAGCTTTTTATCTCGTGTGCGTGATCTTACTGGTGCAAATCCTATAATACTAGTTGTGACAAAGGTATCAATATGCACTTGGGCTGTTCTCCAGTTTATAATATTATGTTTTTTGCTTTTGCAATAAAGCTGATTATATTGTGTGTGCTTTTTCTCTGTCAGGTTGATCTCCTTCCTAAAGGGACTGATTTTAATTGTGTGGGTGATTGGGTTGTGGAGGCCACTACAAAGAAGAAGCTTAAGTAAGATGTGATTTCACTGGAAATTATTCATAAAAATATAATTGATGATTTTGGCCCGATTTGGATTAAGGCTTTATCAAGATTTTGCTCCAGTCAATGTTTGATTCCTATAATGTCACTTGAAAGCTTGGGTTAGCATGTTTCTGAGACAATGTGCTCTGCTTTGCAGTGTTTTGAGTGTGCATCTTACTAGCTCAAAGTCCTTAGTAGGGATTGCTGGAGTTGCATCAGAAATCCAAAAGGAGAAGAAGGTTGGTTTCTTGTCCATACAGCCATACATATGTCATGGATAAGATTCGCAGCAGTGTGCTGATATTTTGTGCATAAGATTATATGCTTGAGAAAGCGTGTTCAAATTGGAGTCTTCTGAACCAAATATATGAAATAAATGTTGATGTGTATCTGTGATTAAGTCTTGAAGTTTTCTTATCTGCATTTGGTTTATAAAGTGATCACAACTGCACAATTGCCAATAGTGGAAGCAATTGGCTTACAGAACTTCTATAAGCTCCTATCCAGTATATGTTCTGAGGACTTTTATCTAAACTTGTAACTGTAGAAATGAGCTTAGCTGTTTTATAATCTTGTTTCCTTTAATGTTTTCCTTAGCTTAACTTCTTTTGTTTGACTCTCTTGTGATGCAGGGGCGGGATGTATACATTCTGGTTAGTAAGTCCTGAACTGGAAGCTTCTTGAAGATGTACAAAGAGGGGCTGAAAAAAATCACTTTATTTTGCTAAAATTACCTTGTCAAAATCCTTTCTCCTTTATAACATCTCATCCAATGTTGTTTTCTTGATTGCATTGTTCATATTGCAAAATGGATTCCTAATCCTTCTAGGTGTCATGCATGTATTCTGCTGCTGGTACACATCTTTCCGGGGGAAAATGAATTAATATCTTTGTTTTGTTTTTCATTTGTCTGGCCTGAGGTCCTTTATCCGTTTTAATTAAAGAGTTAGTTGTTGTTCTGCTTTGATTTGGTCAAAATTTAAATTGTATTCATTATAAGTTGGTGTATATATAATATTCATTTGATCATTCTTACAGGGATCAGCAAATGTGGGAAAATCTGCGTTCATAAGTGCTTTACTGAGTAAGTTCCTATCATTTATCTTGTGTTGACAAGGTGAATTAACTTTGAATTTCCAAGAAAAGGAAAAAGGAAAAGGTTAAGTCACTTAGGTTGCATTTCGTGTGTAAAAAACTTAGATAGGAACACAAGATTGATGAGTAAGTTGTCTTTGTTTTATATTAATTTCAGTGCATGACTAAAATGTTCTTTTAATTTACATCTTACTGTCCATGTAGGATTCCACAATCATAACCCTCTGCAGAGGATTGTATAATCCCATCTGTACATGATTACAAATTTTGTTAACTTTCCTATCCTTCTTCTAAAGAGTTATAGTCAATCACAAAATTTAACGTTTAATGATAAGTTATCTTATCAAATCCTATCCTATGCTTTAAATGAACCTTTACATCCTATGATGTTGATGTTATCTTCAAGTTCAGATGTAATTTTGAGATTTTATTATTAAGGACAGTAATGATTATATTATATTTCTGCTGACTTTTTAACCGTATGGGAATGGGAAATTGGTAGGAGAAAAATGCTATGGCAAACGAAAATGTTTTGGATAGCTGTAGTTGTGGAGGCCAGGGGGTTGATCATTTTCATATTAATGATCTTTGATTCATAAATTATTACGAACCAGCTGAACGGGATCATAAACCTGCTCTGTGGACTTGTTATAACTGCAATCTCATGGGAATGTAATTTGCAAAGGAATAAACAATCCCATTTGTTGGGAACTTATAAACATGCAAATTGGGAGGAAATGATTTGTTATTTGCATTCTCTGCTCCATATCCAGATTCCAACCAGCTTAAATATTGTAGCTTTAGATATGCTAAATGTTGGAAAATCCTTTTAACAAAAAGTTTTAGCGAAATCTTTTACATGGAGAATACGCAAATTTCTTGTTTGAATTCATATCAGTCCCTTTTCCTCAACCTTATGTGATAATTTATATCCTTTATCAATTTTTCATATATGAAAATGGGGTAGTAAAATGCCTTACCATTTGGCCCATGAAATGTCAGAAATGATGGCACAAAGGGATCCAGCAGCTGCAGCAGCGCAAAAGTACAAACCTATACAGTCTGCTGTACCTGGAACTACCTTAGGTCCAATTCAGATTGATGCATTCCTTGGAGGAGGGGTATGCATTATCAGTTCATTGCCTGGATTTTATACTATCTCCTTGGCACCATGTTTGTATATATTGAGTATCTTATTTAGCTTATACCTGATTAGTTTGATAAAATTAATTTTAGTAGTACTTGTCTATTAATTTTGTTTTATAGTAGCACTTGATCTTTTATGGTAATGTCATCTTGCAGAAATTGTTTGATACACCCGGTGTTCATCTTCACCATAGGCAAGCTGCAGTAGTTCACTCAGAAGATTTACCTGTCCTTGCTCCTCAAAGTCGGCTTAGAGGTCAATCATTCCCTGTATGTTTCATTTGAAAATTCCTCAATAATTAAACCATTAATTGTCTATATGATTTCTTCTGACTATGTTCCCCAAGGATTGCCAGGTGGCCTCCAAAAATGGGATGGCAGGGAAATTCAACCCCATTGGATTAAAAGGGTTCTCAATATTTTGGGGTGGTCTTGTCAGAATTGATGTCTTGCAGGTCCTTATCATTTAGTTTCATGTATATTGAGGTGTCAGATTGATTGTGATTGATCTGCTTTGTCTTCTGAATCTAATAAATGTTCATTCTTGATGCTTTCAGGTTCTGCCGGAGACATGTTTGACATTTTATGGACCAAAGAGGTTGCAGATTCATGTTGTACCCACTGATAAAGCAGATGAATTTTACAAGGTAATCAAGATTCTTGCTGTACCATCATGAGTTCTGCCTAATGCTTTCATATGGTACATTTTCCACTTAGACAAATACGCTACAGTTACAAGAAAGTTTGCGGTAATCAATTTTTTTTTTCTTAGATAACTGCATTGAATGTCGTGAACACTAATTGAGGTTGCAAATTCTCTCATAAGCTATAGCATGAAAACGGTCGTCTTGAACCTGATTGTCACATTAGGTTCATCAGAGGCATCTAGCCAATAAAGTTTCATCTGAACCACTTTTTATGAGGCATCTGTTAAAGTTATTAATAGAGGATTTACCTTATTGCTGCAGAAAGAACTTGGGGTTAAATTGACACCGCCGACTGGAAAAGACAAAGTAGATGAATGGAGAGGACTGGAGACAATGCAGCAATTGAAAATTAAATTTGAAGATCCAGAAAGGTGCAATTCTAGTTTATATTTAATGTTTACATTGCATGACACTTTGAATTGAGCTGCTGTTAGAAGCTTTTTGTTATGCATACAAGAAATTATGGGGTTTCACCTGTTTCAGCATCCTTTTTTTAATTTATTTTTGGGAGGGCAGTGCTACTTTTATTTATGTTTAGCACTGTTATTTGAAATCTCTCAAATTTCTTGCTTGTACAGACCTGCTAGTGATGTGGCTATCTCAGGCCTGGGTTGGATCGCCGTTGAACCGAAACGCAAGTCTCTTCGAATTTCTGATAATAATTTTGCAGAAACCATCAAAGAACTGCATTTGACAGTCCGTGTACCCGGGCCAGTTGAGATTTTTGTTCGGCCTCCATTTCCAGTCGGTAAGGCTGGAGCAGAATGGTACCAATATCGTGAGTTGACAGCAAAGGAAGAGGAAGTAAGATCAAAGTGGTATTTTTGACGGGTTCTTGTTTCCTGATTCTGTGTTCCATGAATGTGCTTGGTTGTAAAGTGCGGAAAACTGTATACACATATAGTGAATTAGAGAATTTGGACAGTAGAAGTGTAAAACTGAGGGAGCTTGTTACAGAAATTATGTATGTAGAGATTGCGACAGAAGGTTAGAAAGTTGGACTTAATTTGAGTTTTTTTTTTAATGCTTAATCATAATTGTGATTATTTATGAAATTTAACTGACCCTAAGAATCAAACTCAAATTGAATCTAAAAATGAAATAAAATCAGAACTAACTATATACTAATCTTAAGAATCAAACTCAAATTAAATTTTTTTAAAAATAAAGTCAAAACTAATTGCATATTACTCATAAAAAATTTAAATACATATAAAGATCAATTTAATCTAAACAAAAAAACTTCAATCTCTTCAAACTATTTTTCTTCATTTGTTTTGATCAGGTAAAAGAGTTTCTCAGGCTTGACAAATAATTTTAAAAGCACATTCAGTTGCAATCAAATCATTTTTGTCTGAGTTAACCAAGCACTTCATTGTAATGTTTCTTGATAGTAGCAAGATCAGCTACAAAAACAGAATCATATTTGTCTAGGTGAACCAAAAGCACCACTTCATTGTAATGTTTCTTGGTGGTAACACAATTAGCTACAAAAACAAAAAAATAATCTTCGATAAAGAGAATCGAATACAGAATATTAGTATCGTCCATTTTCATCTTCTTAAAAAGATTTAACGTGGAAACAAACTTGTGAACTAGATAGGCATTAATATATTTTTGGACTATCAAGTCAAGCATTGCAAATTCTTGTTGAATAGCACTATTGATATTTTCTAACTTGAAATATTCTTTTGCAGTGATTTTGACTTTTTTAGTTACAATTTTAGTGAACCAGATAGGCACTAATGCATTTCTAAACTATCAAGTCAAGCATTACAAACTCTTGATGAATAGCCCTATCGATATTTCCTAATTTAAAAAATTCTTTTGTAGTAATTTTGACTTTTTAATTGTAATTTTTATGAATTGAGATTGATAAAAATTTTAAAAATAAAAATTAGTCATGAAAACTCAATTTTTTTTTTGAAAATATAAAAAATTATCTGAGATTTGAAATCAAAGAATTTGTGAGCTAAGGTACAAGTTTTTATATTCTTGGGTAATGTGGCGTTTAAAAGAAACTAATTTTGTTTGGTTGACATCAAAAACAAGCTAATTCTCTTCGGTTAAGGGGAAGTGAAAGTGATTAGAAGTTGCGGCTCGAGAATGGAAGGTCGGGAGAGAAACCCAGGAACCATCGTGGTAGAGAGAGAGGTGGTGCGGCTGGGTTAGTGTCCTAGAGAGACTTAATTTGGTGTTAATAGAATTAGAACATTTACCAACTTAATTAAATCAATAGTGGACAGTGTTTTGCCTCTTTATTTGCTGTCAAGTATTCATTAAACTGACTCACCTTTTAGCAAAGTTTATAAGATTTAAAATTTTGTAGAACCTCCCAAAAACTTAAAAGATTTAAGATTTTGTTGAAATGCTAAAATTTTACTATGATTTTATAGCAATGTATTTTTTTTAACGTTTTTAACAGTGATAATTATCTTAACTTAAAAAATTGAATGTTTTATTTATTTTAATTACCAATTTACCATGCTTGTAAAATAATTTGTCTTATTTAACGACCATTATTTGCTAATATTAGCAATTTAGATACCAAGTAAAATAATTTTTATATATTAGTAATGAATTTATACAAAGAGAAATTACAGTGGTACAATTTAGCAACAACGCCGGACCCAAAACCTAATAACTAGGCTTAGCGCTAAGGCCTTCCAGTTGGGCCACGGTGTGGGCTCAAAGGATTCATTACTATGCGTCGTCCGTAAAATTTCGAAAACAATTCGTACATGTTAGATTCCCGCTACTGGTTTTTTCGTTTTTTCATTACCGCCAAACGTTAGCGTCTCTCAAACGCTCAAATTTTTAGGCTTTCAAAAAACCGAAAAAACTCAAAAATCTTACATTTTCTGGCTTAACGGTTTCGATCTCCGACACCGTTTCCGTTCTCCGATTCCGGCGTTTCCAAACTCTGAAAACCGTTCTTTTAACTCACTCGCTCGCTTTTCTTCTAAATTGATAGCTCCCAATCTCTCACTCAACGACTCAATAACTTCAAAAGAATTGTCTATTTGGCAACTAAAGTAAAGCTAATTGCACCCTCTGCAGTTACTTTATCTACATTTCTATACGGTTTCTCGCCATTCTTAGGGATTCCTTTGATTTTGTCCGGTTCATTCTTTCAAATTCTAGGGTTTTCCTTCTTGAGTTCTGCAATTGCGGCCCGATGTACATTAAGGAGATATGTTTGGAAGGGTTCAAATCCTACGCGACAAGGACGGTGGTCCCTGGTTTCGATCCTTTCTTCAATGCCATAACGGGTTTGAACGGGTCGGGCAAGTCGAACATTCTGGACTCGATTTGCTTTGTTTTGGGAATCACAAATTTGCAGCAAGTTCGCGCTGCCAATCTTCAGGAGCTCGTTTACAAGCAAGGCCAAGCCGGAATTACCAAGGCCACGGTGTCCATTATCTTCGATAATTCGGATAGATCCCGGAGTCCACTCGGTTACGAGGATCACTCAGAGATTACTGTAACGCGACAAGTAGGTGATAACTAAATAATTATCGTTATTTTTTTTATTGTAGTTATGACTTTGTTTTTGGCGGTAGTTATGACTTTGTTTCAATTTGAATTATTGTTGCAAAATGTCACTTTTCTTTAATTTTACTTTATATGCTTTCATGGAATTCTATCTTTTTTAAATTGAAAATGTATTCGAAACCTCTGCAGATTGTGGTTGGTGGAAGGAACAAATATTTGATCAATGGAAAACTCGCACAGCCGAGTCAAGTGCAGAACCTTTTCCATTCAGTTCAACTTAATGTTAATAATCCACATTTTCTCATAATGCAAGGTCGGATCACCAAGGTTCTAAATATGAAACCACCTGAGATTTTATCTATGCTTGAAGAGGCTGCTGGGACAAGAATGTATGAAACAAAGAAAGAGTTTGCGTTGAAAACACTTGAGAAGAAGCAGAGTAAGGTTGATGAGATTAATAAGCTTCTTGATCAGGAAATACTGCCTGCTTTGGAGAAGTTAAGAAAAGAACGAATGCAGTATATGCAATGGGCTAATGGGAATGCTGAGCTGGATAGACTTAAAAGGTTTTGTGTTGCTTTTGAGTATCTTCAAGCCGAGAGGATTAGAGACAGTGCTGTTGGTGAAGTGGAAAGAGTGAAGGCGAAGATTACTGAAATTGATAATGATGCGGAAAGAACGAAGGTGGAAATTCAGGATATGGAGACAAACATATCGAAGTTGACAGCTGAAAAGGAAGCTACTATGGGTGGGGAAGTTAAAACCTTGTCAGATGAAGTAGACTTGCTATCTAAAAATCTTGTGCAGGAAGTGTCTGTGTTGAATAGTAAAGAGGATACTCTCAAGGGTGAGAAAGAGAATGCTGAAAAGGTTATTGATATTGCCCTAAGCTCTGCTGTTTTTGTTCAATTTCTTTCCTCTTTATCCTCCTCTGCTTTCGACTGTTTTGCTCTCGCTATTTTCACTTAAATGATTTGGATTTCACATTTTGGTGTTCTAGCTTATTCAAAATATTGAAGATTTGAGGCAGTCTATAGAAGAGAAGGCCATTGCAGAGCAAAAGTGTGAAGAAGGAGCAGCCGATCTTAAAAAGAGAGTTGAGGATCTTTCCAAGAGTTTGGAAGAGCATGAAAAGGAATACCAGGTAAATTCCTGCAGATGCCATCTTTGTCAATCATAAACTTTATATTTCTTGCGTTCATTTGCAAACCAAGTGCTACGAAGAAGTTGCTGTGATTAACATGGCAGGCTGTCCTAGCTGGCAAGAGTAGTGGCAATGAGGACAAGTGCCTAGAGGATCAACTCGGTGATGCTAAGGTTGCTGTTGGGGCTGCTGAAACAGAATTGAAACAACTGAAAACAAAAATTAGCCATTGTGAAAAGGAGCTGGGGGAGAAAACAAGTCAATTAACGTCAAAGCGTGAAGAAGCAGTTGATGTGGAGAATGAGCTTAATTCCAGGCGAAAAGATGTAGAAAAAATTAAAATTGAGTTGGAATCTCTTCCATACAAAGAAGGCCAGATGGAAGCTTTGCAAAAGGTTCTAGTGCTCTCTCTTCTATGTTTCTTGTCCAATGTGGACTGTCTGAACTTTTCTGTTGGCTAAATTGTTTAAACTGACAAATTTTGTAGGACCGTGCATCTGAGTTGGAGCTCATCCAGAGGCTGAAAGATGGAGTACGGGATCTTTCAGCCCAGCTGGCAAATGTTCAGTTCACTTATCGTGAACCTGTTAAAAATTTTGATAGGTCAAAGGTGAAAGGAGTGGTTGCAAAACTAATAAAAGTGAAGGATAGCTCAACAATGACAGCCTTAGAGGTTGGCAGCGTGTAATAGATATTATTTTTAGCATACCACCAAATTTATATGGTAACCCTTTAAATTAATTTGTAGGTTACTGCAGGTGGAAAGTTATTTAATGTGGTTGTTGACACTGAAAATACTGGAAAACAACTGCTTCAGAATGGTGATCTACGAAGAAGAGTAACAATTATACCTTTAAATAAAATCCAACCTAATACTGTTCCCCCTAGGGTTCAGCAGGCTGCTATTGGATTGGTTAGTTGTTGCTTTTGCCTTTAGTATTTTTTTTTACTCTATTGTTTTTGTTTTCTTCTAATCTCTTTCCAATTGTGTTTCTTGATTTCATCGTGAAATTTGCAGGTTGGGAAGGAGAATGCTAAGCTGGCACTTTCATTGGTTGGTTATGATAAGGAATTGGAGGTATGCTCTCATGAGGCTACTGTATTATTTTAAACCTCATGCTGCATGATGCCTATTGGCAACCTTTGATGTATGGCTATTGCTATTTGATTGTGGTGCTTGTAGTCATAGAAATTAGTTGAGTCGAACTATATTAACATTTGAACCCTTTTAGGTAGTCGGAATGCAAATATTAGTAACTATTATTTTATATGATGCTGTCTTTTGCTGAAAGATTTGAATGGTATTGCAGAGTGCTATGGAATATGTATTTGGTGCTACTTTTGTTTGTAAAACTACTGATGCTGCAAAGGAGGTATGCCAACAATGTAA